CAAGGAGGAATGGGCAAAAATTTCAGTCTCTCGATGTGCAAAACTGATAGAGACATACCCCAAGCGACTTACAGCTGTAATCGCAGCAAAAGGTGGCGCTACCAAGTATTAACTTAAGGGGGCTGAATAATTTTGCACGCCCAATTTTTCAGTTTTTTATTTGTTAAAAAAGTTTGAAATATCCAATAAATTTCGTTCCACTTCATGATTGTGTCCCACTTGTTGTTGATTCTTCACAAAAAATTACAGTTTTATATCTTTATGTTTGAAGCCTGAAATGTGGCAAAAGGTCGCAAAGTTCAAGGGGGCCGAATACTTTTGCAAGGCACTGTATATATATATAGTGTGTATGTATATATATATGTAATTTCCATGTTTTAGACTATTAATCATCTCTTTCATATTTTTAATTAAAGTCATTAGTGTGGATTTCCTCTGCATTGCAACTCCAGTTGCTCCCCTCTGTAATGAATATGCACATATAATCACACAATAACATGCATACAGAGCTGTAGACAATTAACAAGTCACTACACCGTTGTGAAAAGAATTGCAGCTAATGTTTTTCAAATAACGAAAACTGAGAGTGAACTTTGCCTTTTGTCTCCTCCATGAACACCTGTATGGAGCAGATGCATTTGGGACCACAACAGATATGCTGAAAGATCAATTCCAGTCACCGTAAGGAAAGTGACAAAGGTTGTACTGTAAATCATCTGGCTTTTAAGTAATTTAATCTTAAGCGGTTAACAGAGAATAACATGAACATGGTTATGACCAGTACCAATGGGATATCAGGACTCCAGTTGCCCTGCAAATGCACAACATTGTGAATTTTAATGTGCTATACAGATGGGACAAGGCTGCCTCGCTAGCACCTGCTGTGCATCATTTAACAGCCAGTGTCACACCTCCTCTGTAAGAACATTGTATAAGATTGCTAAGGGTTAGGAAAATGCTAATGATTGAATATTTCAAGTCCGCATTTCCAGGTATGCTATAGATCAGACTATTGGCTGCACATAAAGAAGAAAAATAAATTCTAGGTCTTTATTTGCAGTCTGACATGCACTAATGGTACTATTTTCACCGTTTGCGATGAGCTTTGTGGTCAAGATTGCACAATTAATTAAACCACACAGTTTGCATTTGTCACATTTCCTGTTTCGCATGATAAAGCTTGATGTGTTTCTGCATCTAAAGCTTTGTGTTTTCCTTTTTTTTTTTTTTTTTTTTTTTTTAGCTGATCCTATTTAATAGTCCATTTCTATTTGTTCTTTGTCTTTGTTCTAAAATAGTTTTCCTGCAAGCATCATGCAGGACACAATAATGGATGCCAGTGCTTACAGAGATTTATTATTGTAAATTGTTGTAATTTAGGGTTGAAATTAGTAAATGTCATCATGGGTGTAGACTCTAGTGTCACTACTAATTAATATCAAGTATATCCATCACAAGTAATAGGCATTTATTCTTGTGCTATATTTACTGTATATTCAGCTCAGACAATTTATTATTTACTGCTAAGTTGGATAGATCAGAGGTTAAAAGGAACATTCATGGTCTGAACTAACATTATGATTCACCTGCTTTTGATGTGTAATAAGTCCATCTGTGCTTTAAAAATATGTGTAATGCTAAACTCATCAGAAGTATCATTATAGTCTCTTAAAACTTTGTAACAAAATTCTGCCATTAATAGGAACCAGAAGGATCAGTCAGTATCCCTGTTTACCAATAAAGTCATGCACACAATACATTAAAGCCCCTGCACTCATGGCTTCTTTGTGTTCCTTTTGGGAATACATCCACCAACAATTAATAGCTCCCCCTGAGAAGTGCAGTATGCAGCACTTTGTCAGAGTCTACAGAGAGATCCTTTCTGCACTGACACTCCTCCCACTTCTCTGGAACAGAGATGGACAGGGTTCCTCCCACAGCATCTCTTAAATCACACTTGTAAAGGTTGAGGTTAATAAGTCGTGGGTGCACCTCACTGACTGACAGGACCGCTGTTGTCCCCATTTACCAACCTTTGTTCCTTGTGCTAGCAAAAGACATAATCACATCCAGATGGTTCCTAGAGAAAGCCAAAGACTGACAACAACAGTACATTAGCTTATTTTAAAATTGGCTTTGACTGTATGACTTCTCATTCATGCCTTCCACCATCTCATTCTTTCCCGTCTTTTTTTCTCCTGTCTTTGTATAGTCCTTTTATCAAAAAGGTCCATTATCAAAGTACACCCTCCTTACCCCATGTTTACCCCACACGATCGCACCCCTTCCTACACACTGTTGTACGCGTGGTGTGTGTCAAGAATGTAGTCCTGTTGCCATGGCAGCTTGGCTTGTTTAATTGCCAAGTTTTTTATTAACAGATTTTTAGTATTTTGCAATTAAAATGATCTAACATGCTTTAGCAATAAATGTCTATAGAGTATTTATGATTTTTGATATTTTCTTACTTGTATTATGTCAGTTACAAAGGGATGTATTAACTTTGAGGATAATTTGAGGATAATTTGAGGTAAGCCATGTGGCTTCCCAGAACAGAGAACAGATTTTGTGCAAATCTTGGCATACCTTGTACTTTTTCACCCATGAGAATAACTCAGCAGAGGCTGTCAAGTGTGTCTTTTCAGCTTTTAGCTCTCTGTTAACCAAAGTGTTTTGTAACCACAGCCATGGCTGAACTATATCTCTATGAAGATTGTCATCCAGCTATGGTATATCCAAAGTGGTAATATATAGGCAACTGGACTTACTTGTTTCTGAACTACTGTGCCTTTTTCACTTGAACTACACCTGAACCTATTGTATCACCTGGTTTAAAATTTCAGTACCAAGTGCCACTGTCAAGTTGCACAATTTAATCCCTCTTAAAGCAGTGTTGTGAAGTGATATGCTGAAGGGACACAAAAAGTGTCGGTGTGTACGCAGCCAGTTGTGGTTTCTTCAGGTCAGTGTACTGTACATTTATAGGGTAAAATGTTTACCTACTTAACCCTATAAAACCATTTGTATCATATTTGATACGTGAGGTTTCTGAACAAAAAAAATCACCAAAAATGCCCCATGTATCAAATGTGATACAAAAGAAATAGAAATAATCTAAATAATATGGCACCTCTATTCGTATATACCTGGACTGTCTGTCTATGCATATATGGCAAATAAAAATCGTGAATCTTGAATTTTGAATCATGAATTTTATTTTGGATTTTGTTAAAAGGTTTAATAAACATCTCAGTTCCAAAAAATTAGAATGATCTGGCTATTTTTTGATATGTTGTGCTTTACAGGGTAAATTGTCTTAACTGGGGAAAACTGGCCAGGCTGTTGGAGGTGTAGATGAAACATGACAATGCAGTTACTTGGGAGTTATTGGATCTTATTAGCTAAAGGTTTATCCCTCCCTTCTTCAAATTCAGTCACCAACTTGCAGGAAAATCAGATTTAAAAAAAAAAAAAATTGCTACACATGCTTGCCTGTCTTATTCAATTAAAATTGTTTTCTTTTACAGAGTGCAGCACAGCGCTTGGATGGTCACCAGCATGACCTATCAGCTGTCAGTCCTGTTTTCTGTTCAGCATTTTCCAAGTTTCACTGGCTTTTTGTTGTAATTTTTCAGTTTGAAGCAAAGTGCTGTTTAGTAGTTTTAGTTTGGTCTGATGCATGAACCGCCCAATCTGGCTCCTTTCAGTGCAAAGCAGCAACCCATCCCAGACGCCTTGTTGGGGAAACATTTTGACTGCTTATATCTGCATTCTAAACCATGTAGTCACTAGCTTAAGATCATGACTGTAGATAAGGGCAGGATCGTACATTTGTTCCTAGTAAACAGATGTTTACCTTTATGCTCAGCCCTCACTTCCCCGCAGCAGTTGTATACAGTAACTGTGGGGCCTGCACCAATTTGCCTACTGACCTTCTGTTCTTTCCAGTGCAGGAACAAGAACTGGAGATGCTTGAAAATCTTCACTTAATTAACCCAGACACTGCACCCTGTGTGCAAACCGGACACCACCAGAGAGCAAGTGAAAATGTTCTACTTTCAGTCCTTCCTTGCATCTTGATATTCTGTACATGACAATTACCAACAGATGAAGCAGCAAAACAGTCTTTGCGGACCAAACATCTGCTTCAGTCACTGCAAAGAATGTGTACATAACTTTTAGTTCAGCTGTACAGAGATCATGGTGTTCCAATTCAGTTAAGATTTTGCTTTAGGGATACATAACAATGGCCTCCTGGTTTTGTTATTAAGGGATGCATAGCTACACTACAATTTCTTGATACCCTTTATTTACAAATCACAAATTACTTTGTAGTTTGTCTTTTTAATTGACTGGCTTTATAAGCTGAAATATTTTCTCATCAAACAAGACTGCAGTTGCTTTGAGAGTAATCTAAAGTTACTGCATGTTAAAAATAGGATGCTCACCTCTAAAATAACAAAATACTCAGCTGTCTAACTCTGTCTTGAAGTCAGCAGATAAATCGGATCACTTTACACCCTCCACCAGTGTGACCCCTATCAGATTTGGTATGCAGGGTGGATATCTCCCCCTTAGCAGAATGATAACTGAATAACCATTACCAAGACATCAATCCCACTACAATTGCCTTCTTGGGAGTATAGCATGGTAATAAGTTAGGGAAATGGCTGTTTGTGCTTGCTCATAGTAATTCACTATGTATGCAAGATGTTAAATACATGGGCTAAGGTCTTTGATCAAAGCTTGATGGGTTGTGAGGTCAGCTACAACATGACCTCAGTGACCTATGTAAGAACCAATAGGCCATTGGAGAAATGGTCAAATACACTGCCAGCACTCCTACAGCATGTTGCCATCACAGGTACCTCAGACCTCAGCATTTATCGTGTCTGCTTTCTGTACAGAAGGAGTTTTGGTTCACATTGTTAGTTCTTAAACCCCAACAAACATATGAGCTGTTGTAGTTACACTACTGTGTTATCTGTTATCACAACTGTCATCTGTTTAGCAGAGTTTGAAATCTGTTTCCCTGTACCTTCCTCCAAAGAACTGCCTCTGACGAGACAATAATACTGGCTTCTGAGTTGACAGTAAAAGCTGCTGGCTATGTTCATCATGTGTCTCCTCATATTTTGTACAGCAGGAGCAAAAATCTATAAATACAGTCTCCAAGGCAATACTGCACCATTAACAGTCTTTGACAATAGAGCTGTCTGATCTCCATCATGTCTCTCTTTTTTTCTTTCGACGCCTGGTCTACATCAAATATCTCAAATGGATTTATATTACAGTAAGCATTAATGAGTTCCTCAGTACTTATGGCAGCTACTTGAGTAGGTTCCTGTTTTTACCCCTTTGTGTCAAGAATAAATCCAGCCTAAGAGGGTGAGGAAAGGAACTAGAGTAAAGCTTTAATGTTTCCATGTGGATACTTACAGACAGCTGTCAATAGTAAATGCAACGATAATACAACAGTGAACATAAATGGTGGTCGATACTACATGTGCATTAAACACAAGTAAACAGGTTAACCCAACATCATTGTCATTTCTCACCAAACCACCAGAGGAAGAGTAATGGACATAAATTCGAGCAGGGTAATAGGTGAGGGCTCGATTTGTTTCTTCGGCCATAGTATGTGTAAATTACTTTTTTATTGTACTGTGGCAAAGAATGTATTCTGTCCCTACTATGTATGGCTATGTGATGGTGCCTCTGGAAAATCCTTCAAATGTCTTCATGCTTCCCTTTTGAAAAACTGCCACCAAGAAACCTGGAAGAAGCAAATATCATTTCCTGCCACATTTGCTATTTTGGCATTTCGATTAATGCAAATGTACTCAGTTTGATTGAAACACAGAATAAAAACAATTCAGTTTGCTGCTTTATATGATTCAAGTGCTTGGTTCAAATGAACTTCAGTTCCTTAAATCTACAGTATGTAACTTAAGGTAGCACTAGCATGAAACGCCAAATCAACCCACTCTTCTTTGCCCAGCACTCCCTCTCCCATCTCCTCTTTGTTCTACTACAATCTGCTACGCTTTACCACCTTCTGCCCAGCTCTTCAGATATGTCATTATGAAATCACAATAAATGAGAATGAAACAAAATGTACTGATTGAACAGAAATACCAGAAAATTTCTGGTTAGAGAGGCCAGTCCTGCTCAAAAAGAGCTAATATCTCTGCACTCTGTGCTGTTCGAGTCTGGGTTACAGGAGGCTTTTACTGCACTACTTCACATTAAGACGAGCCTTGGAGCAGTTTTCTACAACACAAATATTTGACAAAAAGTTACATACTGTAGCGTTAATGCCATAAGAAGTAACTGATAGAAAAAAAATACCAGTCTTTTTACTTTTCTCAATAGAGTAGATGCTGTTTTTTTACAACCTCACTGGTTTTCTTCAAACACCCGAACCTGTGTTTTGCCCAGTTGTTTTTGACAGAACTGATGTGTTGATTATGAGAGATTTCCTGATTTGATTTTCTCAAAGTGTATTCCGTCAGTGTATCACATATTCAGTATTTGCTTCAGGAATGGAAATTGAGTGTGCAAGTATCATGTCTTACTACTCAAATACTGTAAGCCAACACTCAGGTGCCATGGGTACAGTATAGAAGCCATACTTAGCTATTATAAATCGTCACAAACAAATTAAGATAAAGGGAAATGTAACTGAGAGAAATGACCAAGTCAGCTGTATGATTGTGTGCCAAGTGGACTCTGGACATGTTCTACAAGTCCTTAAGCAAGTCCCTAAAGATGACAGTAGATGAGACGGAAAATAAAGTATGGAAAAATAGAGGAACATCTGGCCAAAGGAACAAACCCAGGAGTATTAAAACAAAGTGAAAAGGTCATGTACAGCGCTCCAGTGGTCGAGCTAATGGCCAAAAAAAGCCACGAGACACATGAAATAATGTGCTTCATACATCACTAAGTGGTTCTTCATTAGAGCAGGAAAAGTCAAGCTGACCTGTGATACACACTGTTGGTTTGACAACAAAGGTGCATATACACTGATGCTACAAGTAAACACCTCTGTGTTTATTTTAGACATTGCTTTTTACTCCCTTTTTAGCGTTTTAAAGACAGTGCTGTGAATTTATCACATTATGTGACTTCTAATATTGGTGCAGTGCAGGGGAGATTGAATTGGACAGAAGTTCAGGTCATCTAGTTCAGGTCATCTTGAGAGAAGATGTAAGAACAGTTAATTCAGTCTCCATTTATTTTCTCCATGAAATCCTATTCATTAGTATTGAATGAACATATTATCATGTCCTCACGAGAAAATTACACACTGTGGGACTCAAGGCCTTCAGACCTTGGAATATTATTGTACCTACTGTGTCCTTATCATGGCCGCCCTAATTCTAAAATCTTGTGTAATAATACATTAAGAACTTCCACTTCTGTGACCACTTAAAAAGGCAAATGAGCAACTATTTCAGCAATCGATTGAAGCTTTATAGAACAGTTACAATATCGTGATAGCAATTTTCTAACGGTGCTTCTTAACTGACATGAACTGCTTCACAGTGTAGACTGTAGGCCGCGACAAAATGCAACTCGCATATAGCACAGCACGCTCATGTGCTGCATTTTGAGCATGTTCTTGGAGTACAATATGTACCTTTGACCCAGAGGGGAAGCAAGCAGACCAGTATGCAGGCATAAATCTTTACCTGTGGTGATAGAGGTCGGAACAAAAACAGAATGGATAATGATGTTCCTTCCTCAAGTACTTTAAAATCTTACTGATTAGTGCCCTTGCAGTAAGGTTTTAAATGCCAGTTGTCTTTCCCGTGGTTGTGAATACTTCAACTGGTGCTTTAAAGCTTATTTTGCAGCCACCCAAAGTAAAGCCCCTTTCCTTAAATTTAACATTTCAAACATGCACTGGCTAAACTGCAGAACTTCTCACACAGCTCCTCAAAGACCTACTTTGCACTGCAACTGCACTGTGAGTGCAGGCCTTGTTCCACACCAAGACCGAACAAACCTGGACATTTTTAGTATTCCCTCCATCTGTGCCTCTGTCCCAAGGGTGTTGACTTCAGCAGATCACTTTTTCTGGAAGAGAAATGATGGATGTATTTGAAGAGACAAATAAACAGTGAATAAATTTTTTTCCCCCAACAGAATGTGATATTGTAGTTGATACTGCAGAGTACTGGTAGGTGTAAGAGAGAGTGAGTGCAGAGAAGGAGGACGAGACAAAAAGAGAGAAAGTGTGAGGGAAACTGGCCCCCAAAAATAAAATCTAATAATTCATGTTACAAGCTTATTAAGATTCTGGTTGATCAAAATCTAAAACCATGGGTGTGAAGATTCAAAAATAATTCTGGAATGAAGGATGAGAAAATAACTGTGATTAGTGTGTTCACAATAGACAGAATGCTTATTTATGCTGTGTTGACCGGCTAGCTCTTCTTCAGTCTGGAGTGACTTTGTAGCATCTTTGCAGACTGTTTTTTTTTTCTTTTCTTTTCTTTACAGTTGCAATGCCATTAGATTTCGACTTTCCAAAGTATTTTCTAGCTCTAAGTCGCAGCTAACCTGACAAAGCCAATCAAAGGGCATGAATGCATTGTTCCTTTTGAACCAGGATCATTAGCAGCAGCAACTTTGGGGACTCACTGATAGTGTATCCCTAATCACAGGCATAACAGTTGGACCTAAAGGATGGGTTCAGGAGTTTTCAAGTTGGTTTTAAAAAAATGTTGACATGCCCATATGTATGTGAGAATAGGTCTTAGTTGTAACTTTTCCTGTTCTCCGCACTGACCCTCAAGCTTTTTATCCAGGTTGCAACTACGCTGGGAGAAAGGAGGGCCAAATGCCCTTGTTCTCTTCAAAAATGCACTCCAAAGTTTGTTTGATGCTCAAATGAAACTTCAGCTGTCACTAAGCTAATTCAAATAGGTTTTTTCAGAGTTAGTGTATTCAAGACAAATTTCCTTTTTTTGTTTCCCTGAATTGTACTTTTCTGCTGAGTACTTGCAGTCACAACCTCAATATGTCACTTGTCACAAAAATGTAAGTATAGGTTGTTGAACAGTAGGTGTTTTTGTAACCACCTCTTTCTTCTTCTGGTGACAGCAGTCTTGAGTTTCTGTTAAGTAAAGTACACCTTTCTTTAAAAAGTCAGTCTCTGACATGCTATATGGTGCATGTAATAACTGCTGATCGTGACGGTGCCCCTGTACTTCATTTCCCTATTTTTCATCTGCCTTAAATCAATGCAGATAGTTGTTTTAGTGTGACTTCTGTCCAATTAGTTTCAAGGGGTTTGGATAATTTCCTCTTGCCTTCCCCCTGTTAATGGTCTGTCAGATAGAAGTGATTTCCTGACAGTGTGATGACAAACCATTTTCACCGGGTCAGATGAGTTCTAGTAATTATGTAAATAACTGTGGTTTCTTGAACTGGGAGTTCAGCTTGGTCAGAGGGTTGGAGAGAGGGATCATGTGTCCTGCTGCGGTTCAAGGTACTGTCAGTGCCAACTTTGAGTTTATATATCTGTGTGTGTGTGTGTGTGTCTGTATTACTCCTATTGTGGGGACCGAGTACTGTGCGCGTGCATGTTAGAAAATAAAGACCATTTATTACAGACTTTGACATATACTTTTTTAAATAGTTTATGCATGTAGCACTCTAACATTTAAGGTTTAGGTTTTTATTTGTACAGGATCAAGGATTTTGGATGATAGATGTGGCTGAAAAGTATAAAGGTAGGAAGTGACTGTCAACTCTTATACAAGCACAGCCTAAGTCTACTACCTGAAAAGAGCAAAAAAGGTTTTTCCCCAAGAAACATACAGTACTTTACTTAAGCTGACGGATATGAGACAATTGCATCAAGATCTGTAGCAAGCCAAGAGTAACAACTGCTCTTACTGCTACAGAAATTGAGGGTGCTAATTGTACACTACATCTAAAGGAAGTCTAAATAAAAGCTGTCTAACTAGTAATGGAGATGAATATGGGGAAATAATTAGAGCAAATGTAGTTGACTTAAAGTGACAAACATCTAAAAAGCTCTAATTTTCTGTGTGTTTTATTGATAGACCTAAACTTACTTACTCACTTTCCCATTTACTGTCAAGCCTTTCAGAATGTCATTGGATAAGTGGTGAAAAGCGACACCCCTGTTTACACTACATTCAGTCGAGCTTTAGCCTGCACTGCACAACAAATGGATGATGGATGAAATGTGTGCATTACAAACTGTTGATAGTGCATCTGTTTTCTTCTTTAGTCTGTATTTTCTGAAAAATTCTACATCACTGAAAGCGATGCTGCTGTTGCTCTTAACACAGACTGCAGTCACCTGTGTTCCTTCTTTCACTTTCAGACAGAAATAAGTAAAGTCGCGTGAACAATTCTGTAATGGTGTTTACAGTTAGAGGCTGTGATAGTGTTGTCATCAACGTTGTCATTTCTGCTCTGTAGCTGCTGAATCCTCCCACCAGAATTGTGACCTCAGTTAACTGGCATTTAGTCTTTTGCACTCTCTCTGATTTTTTTTTCTTGCTGTATTTCCATTTTATAGAAGTCTCCTACTGTTCACTACACTCTCAAAAGGTCTGAACATAATGAAGGTGCCTGTAAGGACATCCAAACCATCTCATCCCATTTCTGAAAGGTTCTCTGAGGAAAAGTCCATCTAAATGTCATAGAATATATGGGATCTATTTTTAACTATACATGTCTATTTAAAGTAAGTTATATTTCATGTTAGTTATTTCTCTAGTGATTAAATTAGTTTATAATATTACATACAGGGAACATTTGTCTCCATTTAACTGTA